CCAGAAGCCAGATCAATGCTGATATTATCCCATGCTACATCTAAACATTTTCTGAAAATATCAATATTTTTATTACGGACCCTTTTATCACTAATAAAATTCTCAAGTGAATGCCAAATATAATCAACCGAATTCAAATCATGGCTTTCGGCGGGCCAGTCATCCAAGCGCTTGATTGAACGAGTGTGCTTCCACCATCTCGTATAATTTTTAGTATGGCAATTGGCGCCGTCCTCTTGTAATTTATAATCCCTGTGCTATTCCTCACACAGTTCAGCTAACCAAAAGTAAAACTTTGACGTCAAAATGTTGACATACGCCGTCTGATCCACATTGTTAACAGCGAACACCAAAAGCCAAAAACACCGGCATAAAACCAGCTCCAGACATAATACTTCCCTCTATGGACTTAGTTGTTTCGACGATATAATGTTTATTATACCTTTCAACAGCATTACGAAGAACTCTCCCACATTCATCATTGCCTTTGACTATCAATCGCAACTCGTCCAACCAGACAACACCTCTCCATTGTTTGTTGGTCCAATCAACCAGTTCTTTTGCGTAATATCTGATGTCTAAGAGACAAAAATTTAAATCAAATATAAGAGAATTATTTATTAAATGCTTAATTTGCTCTTGTGTAAATATTATATGATCATGTTTTTAAGTCAGTGATTGGTGTTTGTGGTATCGGTACTTTTTATATGTTCCGTATTTAAATTAGAGTAGTTGTTATTATGGTGAGATAGTCTTGTGATACACCACTTTGCCCATCGAAGTCTTTTTTTCTTATTAAATTTGGTTATCTTTCTATTATTTACCGCCACGTAAAAGCCAAAGCCAGTTTGTCTCAAATAATGTATCAAAGTAGCTGTGCAAATGTCACTATGATGAAGTTTATTATCAGCGTCCATTTCCTCGTAAGACGCAAACGACTCGCGTCATGTTATTTCCTTTAGCCGTCTTAGATCTCTGTCATTCATTTTTTTTATGTGCACCATTTGGTTTTTCAGGAGTGATTCACTTTCCTTAATTCCATTAAGGAAGCCTTGCATTGTTGAATTCTAATCGCCAACCTCTTTTGAAATGCGATTCATGGAAAAGTTCACCTTATGCAATCAATAAACGCCTCGATTTTTTTCTCTCCCGTTTAAATATGTCGTATGAGTTATGTTTGATAGTTCTGAAATGGTCATTTTGAAATCGATAAGTAATCTTTTATGTTAATGTAAGAAATACGGAATGTAAATTTCAAAAACCAAGCACTAAATCTGTGCTGTACACTTCCTACTTTAGTGTGACTGTAACATTACGTAGATGTCAACATTAACAGAAGTGCCTGTTTAACTGGGTGGTTTAACTTACGAGAGCACCTTCACCATGCCCTGTGTTTGCATGCTCTTTATAAAGTGAATTTAATTGGAAAGAGATAGGTTTGTGTGACGTCGGAGGCACTAGTATCGCGTGCCACAGTAGTATTGCGCAGCAAACTCGCTAACAAACGAAAATTTTTTGGCACTAATCGAAAGCCCCTGTCACAAAACGGTCCTGTGATTTTTTACTCGAAGAATATTTTTGAAGGGGAAACAAAAGGTATAAAAAGAGTACGATTTTCCCTCACTTTTCAACTTTTTTTCTTTTTTTTTTTCTTCATCCAATTAAAAACCTACCGCCTAGTATCCACTGCGCAGAAAAGTGGCAAGGTTTTTGCCATGATGTCCGGGTCAGGATTTTTTAATATTAATGAAAATGAAAAAAAAATCTTAAAGAAATTTATTTTTATTCTTTCTGTCTTCTCATATTGCTTTTGATTTTTCGGGTCCCGTTCTACCAATAGCAGTCACTGAAAAAAAAACTGAAAGACGGGTCCCGTGTTTCCTTTTATTCTTTCTTTGGCTTTTTAAATTTTTAAGTAGTTGTTGTTACAGCAGAAATGAGCAGATCCTACTTAAACATCAAATCGGAGCGAGAACCACTACGTAAAGTGAAACAAAGAGAGAATCTCGAAATGAGATGGAGGGGAAATCAGAACATACGAAAAATGTTCAATTGCGTAATGTCTTTTTAGAATTCAATATAAATATGATGCACAAACATACGGAACTCCAACACCTAATCCGGTGCTGGTAGAAAATGGTGATCCTGGTCCGAGTACATCTTCTAATGTAAGTTTGGATCTGAATGTAATGCATCTGCAACTGCATAAAAGACTAACGTGTGTCAGTTATGACTAGGCACTGAAGCTGAAAGTATCATGAAATAAAAATACAGGTTGATTGACAGCTTTAGAGAAAAGGAAAATGAGGGCCGTCAAACACGTTACGGAGACCAGGTACAACAGACCAGATTTTTTTTTTCGACACAGGTTTTGCTAAAGTTACTGTATTTTAAATTAAGAGAGTAATAACACACTATCAATTATTGACAGTTATAAAACTAGGTGTAATTGAAGAATGTACCTGTTGCGGAAGTACCTGGTTTTCAGTCTACATTCATCATATCCGAAGATTTATCGGGATTGCCAAAGGATTGACGGTAAATATTTAAACAATTTGTTCAATTCTTGGCACGGACAGTGTTATGTAGTCGACTTTTATCAAGAATAAAATGTGTCTATTTGTACTCTCACAAAGTTCTGACGAAATAAGCCAATATTTAGTCCAGCAAGAATATATAGATCATATTCCATCAATTTGAATTGAAAACATGTCCACTGCAATTCACTATCAAACGATATCCAACATTACTTTCTTTACCTGAATTTAATTGGGCTATGCACGACGTTGCTCGGACTTCTCTGTGGAATGAGGATATTGTTGACCGTTTTGGAAGTGTAAAGAACTATGGCTACAATGTTGTATTTTCTTTAGACATACATTTACAAGAAAATAAAATACAAAAGAAACTACATATGCCTGCAATACAATCCGAAGATACATTAAGAATATTGAAATAAACGATAAGCTTTTTTTAAAAAAAGGATAGCCTCGAATGATTTATTTCGATTACCTTTATCTGCACTTGTAATTTATATTTACGTACGTTTATTGCACCTCTTCCGCTAACATGATCTATTCCACACCAGTATCTTTAACTTACTCAAGTATGCTTTTAGCATCTCTTTTTAATGACCATTGGGAATCAATCGCTCACTTTTCTCATTCACCATATTTTCGTCCGCTTTGCATATCATGCATAACCCCTTCTTGCTAGTGCATATAAGTTCAATCATCTGAATTCCAGGCGGGACAAATTCATTTGGCGCTACGTAAGGAATGCCAAGTAGTTCTGGGTACCTTCTAGTATGGTAATATTTAATTTCACTAGTTGATGTTATCTTCCTCTAAACATTGGCAGTCATTTGATGTGTCAAGCTGCAAACAATGTTTTGACAGGCTTGACCCAAAGATTGGATCAATCAAGATATTTGTTGAATTTTATTTGATGCGCGAAACAATGTAATCAGTTTCCAGATACGTTTGTAATAAAATTTGGACATTATTCCTAAATCAACCCATCTTAAATTTTAATACTTAATGTTAACCCTAAAATCTTTGTACAGACACACGCTTGTAAAGCTAGAATGTATATATAGACAAAAAATAATTGTTTAAGACCTGTGCTCCTAAATAAAAAGTTGACTATTGCTTAGTGTTTATGCAAATTGCTTTCCAAAGTAATGTCAAAAATGATCTTCAATATTTTAAAGGCGTCCTTAGTCAAGTGCAAGTTTAGGTCAAAACCAGTATCTCCTATAATAGCAATGATATAAAAAAAAACGTTTATCAACTAAAGTATTAAAACAATCACAATAATCACAACAAACACAATACATAAAATGAGGTTATTCTCATTAGTGTTCATAAATAGTAAGGCATATAAGTGTATATATATGCCCAGTTGCAGTTTTACAACACGTGGGGGTCATTGCAAGTGCAAAGTTATCAAAAGTTTTGGGATGAACAAGCCGGAGACTACCAATTAACTAATCGAAGTCGTCGAGACTAGGATTTCCACTGTTGGTTTATAGAGCTAGTGATTGGGAGTAAAAGGTAATTAGAAATTGTAGTGATCTGCTATGTTATTGCTACATTAAATAAATTCATATATATGACATCAATACATTAAAAAGATAAAGGAATTAACTCCTCATATTAGATAGTTAGTACTATTATATCACAAGGTTACAAGAACACAGTGACTAAGGCTTACTAAAATATGGAAGTACAATGTGTCTAAGATGACAGTAATACCAAGTGTACCATATTTACAAACTAAGTAGTTAAAAGTAACAGGATACACAATCGGAAAATGATAACAACTTCAAAGATACACTTAAGATAGTGGCACAGCAGATAGTTTTTTTATATAAATACTTGTTCATTTTATTCATAATAAAGACATCTTATAAACAGTCTCAAATTATTCACAAACTGCCTTATAATTTAGTTACCTTATGTATAAGTCTGGTAGATTCATTTGTATATAAATTGATTAAGAGCTAACTAAACGGGCGGGTTTGCCCTGATATTTATAGAAGATTGAAGATATTGTGGCTTGTATTTTCGATAGTTCAGATCCATCGTAGTTTTATATGATGGACCATTCATTTGGTTTCTTGAAGATCGTAAGACAGCTGTCCTTGATTTATTATTGTTCCTTAAATTCTCTGATCTCTCATTGGTCGGAACATAGAGTTGTGTTGTAATCAAGAAATTTCCATGAAGTTGGGTTACTGAATCCCGATCAATTATTCGTGAAACATCTTTCCGTTTGTAGATAGTAGCATTTATTATGTGGTTTTAGCACATGACTAATAATCTGTCTTTGTAAATCTGATCCCCGAGACCTTGTTTACCCGAACTGTCAATTAATATAAATAACATCATGTTTATTTATTCTTATTTCTGTATTCAAGATCTTATCTATTTTTCCTGCTTTTCTGAATAAACCTTTTTCTACCTTCATTCCTTTTTAAATATATATTAATACTAATAGATATATAGTTTTCTCTCTGCCTTGTCCTCACCTTAATAATCATTCTGTTCTGCTCTTGCCCCGCCTCGCTCCTGACAGAATGTATTAAATAATTCAATAGGTATAAACCAAAGTTTTTTATTTGGCTGAGGGCTGAAAGGAAGAGCTAATTTTAAAATATACACCCCCTTCAATTATGCATTTAATCCGGTTTTTTTTTTTAGGTAAATGGGTAAACGCTTACTATAAATCCGTCCAAACGAGTAAATGGGTAAATTTACCCAATCCGGTTGTTTTTTGGGTAAATGGGTAAACACTTGCTACACATCCGTTTAAATGGACGTATCAGGCGAAAAAGTTATAGCCTTGGTGTAACCTACAGGGTGACTATGTTGATACTCCGAAATATCCACTTCCAATAGACTTGATGTCAGTCAGAGCGTAAGAAGAACGCATTGTGTACATGTAAGGTATTGTTTTTCCCGCAATGTTGGCAATGTCGGTAATGTTGGCAATGTTGGTTATGTTGGCAATATTGGCAATGTTGTTAATTGTCTTAATGGCTGTGTTGATTAGTGTTATTGGCTGAACAATGTTACATTCACTTTGTTGATTGGTGGTTGCGTGGTGGTTGGTTTGCAAACCTTTTTTCTTGTTGTTTTCTGTTAAAAAGTATGGTATTTGGTCTATCAAAAAGACTTTTTTTGGCCTTATCAAATATTTTTTTAGTGATAAGGCTGTTTTAATTATATGAAAAATAAGTTACGGCCATACAATATTGAAAACACGGGATCCCGTCCGATCTCCGCAGTTAAGCAATATCTGGACCAGTCAGTACTACGGTGGGGGACCACATGGGAATACTGGTTGCTGTAATTTTTATAATTTTTTTGTTAAACTCCGACATCTTTTTTGCAAATTATTTTTTCTTTATTTGTCGGGTTGTTGATCTTGATAAAGTTATAAATCAAAGCAATACAGGGACAAAGCAGATATTTTTTTCTTGAAGTACGAAGAACTGTTGTGATAGTCGTTATAATATTTTAGGATATAAAATAAAAGTAGAGTAGATAAAAGATGACTTTATTTAATTTAATTATGGATTCTATTTTATACGTGACGGAGGTGATATGATTTGTAACTACGACAGAACAAAGAATAAAAGAAGTTCATTTTTCAAATCCTACCATAGTAAAACATTTGTTTTTTTATAGGAAGATAAACAAGAACAAACGTTTTTTTTTCTTTTCAAAGCAGTTATCACAGGGAACTTACGCGACAATTTGCACTTTATTTTAAAATTCTACCGTTTTGCAAAGCAGTTATCACTGTGAACGTACACGACACTTTTCGCTTTTTTCAAATTCTACCGTTTTCCAAAGCAGTTATCACTGGGAATGTACACGCCAATTTTCACTTTTTCCGAATTAAAGATGGTAAGCACGGATGAGCCACGTTATGAAGAAGAGTATTATGAAGTTGAAGACGTTTGAAATCATCTCAGAGAGCCAAGAATATGATATTTTCTTATTACATAGGCTTGTTACGGCCATCGTGCTAAGACATGATAAAAGTCTAGCGATTTCACAGACCCGATTGAGATACTGTCTTATTGGAATTAAGTTGATTCCGCTGCTGAAAAGGACGGGACCCTAAGAGTCTCTATTAAATCTTCCATTACCAGAGTGTCACAGGATTCCGCATTGTCCAATGTCAGGAACAAATAGGTGAATAATGTCGTAAAGAAAGCACAAGAGAAGAAAAGTCTTACGATACATCTGGAGATTAGAGGGGACAGACTGAATACAAGAAGAGAAAACAAAAGAAAATATTGCAAAGCATAATGACGCCTTACATCTAGGCTGGTTTGGTGATCACTGATTGTGGCCCATAAATTGAATGGACCTGCATACTCAATATTTTAATATGTGTAGCGGACCATTGAACATTCGTCATGTCAACTGGGGAATTTGCCGTCTCAACTGGTATGTTGAAACTGGTGCAGGATAATGTTTATCATATCATGGATATAATAATTTAGTTATTTGTCAGATCTCATTAAAAATGGAGAGTATTATAACAGTTAACCAGGAATCACATATTACCCCTCTAATTATAATCATATTTAATTACTTTTTCCTCCAAATCAACTACATAAACCGACAGTAGAAATCCTGGTCTCGACGACTTCAATTACTTAACTGGTAGTCTCCTGCTTATTCATCCCAAAGCTTTGGATAACTTTGCATTTGTAATAACCCCCACGAGTTGTAAAACTGCAACTGGGTATGTATATATACTTATACGCCCTACTATTTATGAACACTGATGACTATAATCTCATTTTGTTTGTTGTGATGGTTTATTACGCTAATTGACAAATGTTATTATATTATATCATTGCTACTATAGGAGATACTGGTTTTAACCTAAACTTTCACTTGACTAAGGACGCCCTTAAAATATTGAAGGGTATATTTGACACTACTTAGGAAATCACTTTGCCTAAACACTATGCAATAGTCAGCTTTTAATTCCGAAGCAGAGGTCTTAAGCAATTACTTTTTATGTACATATTCATTATAGCTTTACAAACGTTGTGTTTCTACAAAGATTTTCGGGATATTATTAAGTATTATACTTTAAGATGGGTTGATGTAGGAATAATGTCCAAATTTTATTCAAACCTATCTGTAAAGTAATTGTATTGTCTCTCGCATCAAATAAATTCAACATACACCTTGATTTATCCAATCTTTGGGTCAAGCCTATCAAAACATTGTTTGAAGCTCGACACATCAAATGACTACCGAAGTTTAAAGGAAGATAACGTCAATTAGTGAAATAAAACATGACAAGATAAGAAGGTACCCAGACTTACTTCGCTTCCCGTACGTAGCGCCAAACGAATTTATCGTGCCTAGAATTTAGAGGACTGAACTTATATGCACAAGCAAAGGGGCTATGCATGATATGCAAAGCGGACGAAAATATGGTGAATGACAAAAGTGAGGGTTTAATCCCCATGGTCATTAAAACGAGATGCTAAAATCCTATTTGAGGAAGTTTAAGATACTCGTTGAGATAGATCATGTTGGTGGAAGATGTGCAATAAAGGTTCGTAAATATAAATTACAAGTGCAGATAAAGGTATTCGAAATAAATCAGTCGAGCCTATGTTTTTTTTCAAACAAGATTATGGTTTGTGTCAATATCCTTAATGTATCTTTGGATTGTATTGAAGTCATATGTAGCTTCGTTTTTATTTTAATATCTTGTAAATGTATGTCTAAAGAAAATACAACATTGTAGCCATAGTTCTCTACCCTTCCAAAATGTTTAACAATATCCTCATCACACAGAGAAGTCAGAGCAACGTAGTGCATAGCCCAATTAAAGTGATGTTGAGAAAGTAAAGTTTGATCTCGTTTGACAGTGGGTTGCAGTGGACAAGTATTCAATTCAAAATGATGAAAGATTATCTATATATTTTTGTTGGACTATATAATGGCTTATTTCATCAGAACCTTGTGAGAGTGCAAGTTGACACATTTTATTGAAATGCCGACTACGTAACACTGTCTGTGCCACGACTTGAGCACTTTCTTGCAATATTTTCTGTCAATCCTTTGGCAATCCCGATAAATCTATGGATATGATGAATGTATATTCAAAACCAGGTACTTCCACAACAGGGGAATCCTTCAGTTACACCTATCTTTTTAACTGTCAATCATTGATGGTTTGCTTTAACCCTATTATTTTAAAATAACTTTAGGAAAACCTGAGTCAAAAAAACCAAAATCTGGTTTGGTGTACCTGGTCTCTGTAACGTAACGCTTAAGGTATTGTTGTAAGACGGTATGTGTTTTCAAACGCCTTGCTTCTTTGATCATGTCCGCGTATTACGTTAGATATAAGTCCTGGTGTAGGGTGAAATAGTGTCACTTTGTCTTTTCTAATCCACAACAGAGTTGAAACCTGCCTGGGTGAAGACCACCTTCTGATCTTTCTTCGACCCACATGAATGCATTGCATTCCGAACTCGTAGTCGTCATTCTTCCCAAAGAATTTCTACTGGGTAGTATTTCAGTTTGCGTTGCATGATTTAGAGTCTAGTGGGCACGATTACTATTCTTCCGGCACAACAGGCTAGTTCTTCTTAAATGCCCAAGTTGTTGACATGTTGAACAGCGGACAATTCTTTCTTGGACTTGCTCAAGAGTTGAAATGAACTCAGCTTCGTCTCCCTCCATGTCGTATTTGGAATCAACATCAGTTAGAATGGTTGAAAAATATTTGCTTTTTGCTGCACCACAGGAATTGAGGTTGCGTTATTTAGTGCATTGTCATCGTTATTCAATGAAGATGGCACCTAAAAAAAAGTCCGTATTTTCAAATAAAAAAAAAAAAAAAAAAAAAAAAAAAAAAAAGCAGACATGACTACATTCGTATATAGGTTTACTTGATTTAAAGGAACATCTAGGTGGGATCTACGACTATGACCTTCTTAACCACAGGACCCACAATTTACACTATTATTTGACATTTTTTTAAAAAAAAATAAAGGGACAACGTTAATCCTATGAGCCGTATTCTTGGGTGGAAGTGTTCACCCCGCACCCCCAATTTTTTTATCACTCCTTAAAAATTGCGCTGTTTAAAAAAACAAGCATACTGTTTTTTATTAGCGCTTTCAAGCTTGATACTATTAGCCGTATTCAAGGGGGAGCGGGAGGCCCGTCTATATGGGTAAAAATTGAGCCAAAATGGTTTTCAGGTGTGACTGGGTTTTTCTAGAGCTAAGTAATAACTGGGGTATTTGTTGACTTAATTTTTCTCTCGAACTTTCTTTCATTTATAACAATTACTCATTCTGAATTCTTCTTCATTCTACGGGATCACTCCTACGCTTATTGATTAATGTGCTGTTGCCATCGGGGAATGCGTAATCTGGTAAGACTTGTATGGGCTGAAGGATGCGCTGACGAACGGTTATACTTTGAAAACTCTCTCCAAGTCGACTTAGGTCCGTTGAGAATTAATAGACTGTAGTACTTAGTAATGCGAAGCTGGTTACAAGCACTTTAAGCAAATAATGCCTTTTTTTGCCATCCTACGTATTAGCTACTTAATTTGCTGAATAGTTCAAACGCTCTCTTCAAGTAGATTTAGGTCCGTTGAGAGTTTATAGGCTTTTTTTTTTTTCGGTAGTCCTATGTTTGCTATCAGTATTTTAAGCGACTAACGCGTTTCGGTTCTCTCCTTCATATTGATTGCTTCACCAGATGCTCCCGCTTTTGTTAAGTACTCTGCATAATATGTTAGTCATTACAAAACGAATAACTTTTTGGTTCTAATTGTTAGGTACAAGACAAGATTGAAATCCTGAGAACGACTTTATACCCTGTAAAAGAAACCCAAGCGATATATCTTGCCTTCCCCAAAACGTCTTGTAGTTGCTGGGAACAAACATTACATACGTAAATACCTCTCTCTTTAAAACACGTATACAACATTGAACTAAATTATATGTCAGTATTCCATATCAGCTTCAAAGGATCTTGTCAAAGGCATCGTTCAAGTTAATTTTGGTCTGGCTTTTCGCTCTCTCACATTGTTTACCTTCTGAAAGTCCATTAAATTTCACCAATCTTTGATTATGAACTCCTGATTACTTAATCCTACTAATAAACCAAATCGCCTCGTCCAATTATGTAGTTTAAACCTTTATTAGTTCTTCAAATGCAAATTAACGCGTATAAATAGAGTGAACTTGTTTATGACAACAACATTATTCCTTCCCCAAGACAAAATTACCACCTTTCCTTTATTATTAATAAAAAGTTTTATTTCAAACAATTCTTGAAATTTCGCTTATCGTTCTGCTTTATAGTGTCTGCATATTTGTTCATGTGTCCATTCTTAATACAATACGCGAGACGTAAAATAATCTTGTGGTCATGAACTCCGATGGTTGCGGTTTGAGAACTATCTTGAAAGATGCTTCATATTGTTATTGGAACGAAGCCAGCCCATCGTCTTTGTAACACATGTGTCCTGTTCTCTTTCTTTTGTGGCACATGTAAAGGTTGATCATGACTATTATATCCCGTCCAAGGTCTTTGCTCCAAATAATTTATCTCCGTTAGGCCTTCGACTTGTGAAACACATTTAACATCCATTGTCTTTGTATCCTTGTCCTTAAAGTCCGTTATTTAACATACGTAATACCAGCTCATGTCATCATCTCTATCTATTCCGGATGCCAGAAATATGTCTCAAAATCAATATGACTAAGATTCTGTCTCTGTTAATTTGATCTCGGAATAATTGTCTACTAGTCCTGTCAACTGTTATAAATAAAGGCCTGTTGTTTATGTGTAATTCTGTGATTAAGATCTTATACGTTTTCGTTTCTTCTTGAATAGATCTTTTTCGGCTTTCATTTAATTTTAAACATATAATAAAACTAATATATACATAATTTCTGTCATCCTTGTTCTCAACCTAAATAACCATTCTGTTCTGCTCTTGCCCCGCTCCTGACACTGTCCTCACTTTAATAATCATTTTGTTCTGCTCTTCCCCGCCCCGCTCCTGGCAATCACTGTTTTTTTTTAAAACATCTCCATGGGAGAACACCTAAACAAAGAGGCTCTGGCCTGGTGAAATTAATATCTAAATTGCCACATGATTCTGGAAATTCGGTTGCAACAACCCTTCAGTAATTTCACGTCTTACCCGGTCATTGAATCGTCTACCAAACATAATCCTCTCATGTCAGAACTTTTCCTTTTTTTTTTTGAAAATAAATTGAAAGGATGGGGATAACGGTGATGATGATTTAATGGCCTTGTTGTATACTCGAATTGTGTTATGCTGAAGGTTGTATTTTTCCAAGGCCTTTTTCATAAACTTAACTTCAACATTTTTTTCGTTATTCTTAAATGATCCAAGATCCGTTGCAACGTTCGAAAGTGAAAATCCAATATGCATGGCGTGGTGAAAAAGTATTAATGCTTTGTTTAGGATGCCCATAAAAATGTTGATTTATGGCAAAAAATTTGTTTCCGTATAAACCTTCCGCTACTCTATAGAAATCCAAAAAGAGCCTGTGTGCCTTATGGATCTTGGATTTTTTTATTTCAGTTTTCAAAATACATACGGATGCGTTTCCAAAATTCGTCCAGTTTCTCCTGTTCTCTTTTGTTAAAATATCTGGTGATTGCCATGTTCATAAAGTAGACGTTTTTTATGACGAATAAGTTTTACCTGTCAGAACAAAAGGGGAATACAACAGGCAACAGCTTTTCGAGTTGTCATCTTTAAAATTGGTGAAACCACTTCCAATCGTTTGATCAACACTTTCAAAAACAAGCAAGTAGTTCCACGAAGTCGGCAAGAACTTACATTATCTCCGAGTTGACATTTGTGAAGTATTCTTCTTCCTTCGAAATCATCACAGATTTTGAGCTTGTCCCCAAAAGAATATTATGCATGGGATCAATTATTCTTTGTCTCACAGCATCTAAATACCGCAATGGATGCAGTTCGGAATAACTTGATCCATTTGCCCTCACAAGATCCTCTCTTTCTATCTCATTAGTGGCATTCCACCATCTCAAATTCGCTCGCATATTGCTTGCCTTCGATCTATCAGGCCATTTCTGGCAACAGTGTTGATTTTAAAAAAACTAGGATTTCCTTCAACCAAGATGAATTTACCTTCAGACTTGTTATACGTATGGCCACTGGAATGAGATGAAACACCAGCTAATTTCCAGCAATCTGGGATATCGCTTGCAAACATCGACAAAGCAGAATGTCTTTTAATCTCGACAGGTTGTGCGGCCGTTTACATCATTACTTCATTTTCCAAACGGAAAAGCTCATCAAACAAGGAAGTTAAGTACGTGTTGATTCGGTCCAGTTTTGGCTCTTTTCCAACAGGCATAAGCCCAACTACGATGATGTTTTCTTCTTAAAATCAGCCTTCTTTTTTCGAATTATTGATTCACACGTAAATGACACCACAAGAATAATTTACGTTATCAAAACATCGAAACCAGTCGACATTTAACGTTGCATACAACGGATGTCGCAATGTTGAAAATGGAAGACTGGTTTTATCTATCAATGTTTTGTGTATTTTACCATCATATATGTGGTAAGACGTTCCTGGAACAACATCTCTTGATCTCCAACCTTTCATTGTAGAGTAGAATTCCGGGCGAAGCATCAACGCTTGCGATGAACTTTTAAAAGACCTGTAATGGTAAACAAATGTGGGCATGAAGATGCTTTTGCTATTATAGTTCTTCACCTGCTAAAATAAAACGTCATCACAAACATCACCAGCCAGCGAGACAAAAGAACATGATTGTTGAGAGGGTGTTTTGTCTTGCATTATAATAATTAGACGTTGATTTTGAGAAAGTTAAATATCACACCTTTGTCACTTCAGGAACATAGACTGAATCTCGTTTTACGTGAAACGTATATCTGGTACGACCATCATCCCAATCATTATTTAAGTTTTTCTCAACTATTTTGAATGACTTTCGCAACGCGGAATGACTAAAACCATTGACATCCTTCCACGCGATGTTTAAAAACTGAAGAAGGGTATTAGCTGCTCTATCAGTAAGGACTTTCTTAACCTTAAAACTCGTAGCGAATAATCCTTACATGCCTGCTCTGATTTGTGCCTCATTTGTTTCTGGATTGGCATTCCCTTCGGCACAAGCTTCCTCTTCTTCTATTTCTCCTTCGTCGTCATCGTCATCTTCATCGTCATGTTCCTCATCAACTACCATGCTTACATCTTCGGCTTCTTCGATATTGTTTTTATATTTTTTGGCATTACTGGTACTTATGCTATATATAATATCTGTTTGTAAAATTAGTTTGCGATGAAAGATTTTTTACTGAATGTGCATGAATCTTGTTCAATGGCAACTGCCTTAATGTTGGGAATGTTCTCTTCAATCTAATTCGTTCTTCGACGTTATATTTTAGGCTCTTAATATTTTTTGTTTTGACGTGAAGAAAATAAGCACATGTCTTACTTTTGTTACTGCCAGACCTCAGTGCATTGAAACGCAATTGTCATTTGAAATGGTATTTGTAGTTGGTGATACAGAGCTCGACTCCTTGAGGTATTTTTCTTAACCTAAAAGATTGAGAATCATTACAAGAGAAAATAAAAAAAGAATCTGAAAGGGGAAAAAAGACCTTTTTTATGATGAGGTAATAATTCTATTTTTAACTGTCAACCTTTTTTTTTCTCTAAATTAAAGTTTACGCCAGTGCTAATTTCATCGTCATTAAAGAGTGCATTCACGATCGAAAGTCTACATTATTCATGATATCTTTATATCATATCAAAAGAACCTGTTTTACTTTTAGAGCACCTAACAGTGGGGTTTAAAATGTACAATTAACGTTGTTTTCTCGAGCAATGTCTTGGATGCTTTGTTTGTATTACTTTCAACTTTTCCGAAGTTGAAAATTCATGTAGCAACAATTATTCATTTTTCCTTCCTC